ACTCCCAGGGGCCTCAAAGTCCCTTACATAGTGAGCTCCCACTTCTAGTACGTTTAGTTATATCATTTTACTGAGCACTTTAAAGAATTAATTTGATCATCACTACAGTCCTGTAAAGTAGCAATTGAAAGTTTCTTCATTTTACAATCGAGGAAACAGAGGCAAAGAAAGGTTCTGTAAGTAGCCCAGGTCACTCATCTAGTAAATGGAGGAGCTGAGTGAGAATCAAAGGCAGGTGGTCCAAGCTCTGGACCATTTTTGCTTTTCTGCTTCTCAGCCATTATTTGTTGGATGAATGAGTGCCTGCAAGGAGACAGGGCCAGTTGGCATCACCACATTAGCCTATTCTGAGGTTGAATGTAACAGCAGACCTCCAGCCTTCCTTGGGTACCCACCTAGTAGTGGGGTGGCTCCCCAAGATGAGAAGGGGCTATGATGGGGCTGCTATTCTGTTGTGTCCCGTAAGCAGTGGACAGAGAGATGGTGGCTGTGTAAAATCCAGGCAGCTCAGCTTTCCCCTCTGCACCCTGGCAGCAAATAATGGTCCAGCTTGGACTATTACCTTCCACATGTCAAGGTTCTTACCACTCCTCTCATTTTATCTCTGTATAAGGAATGAAGGGCTGATGGTATTATCTGTCTTCATTACAGAGGTAAAAGATGCAGGGAGAGCCTGAGGGACGTCAGTGAGAACTGTGTTTAGGGCCCATAGCTGGTATGTTGAGAACATGCAGACCATGACCTGCTCCCAGAGGAGGCACAAACCACCCCCACAGGGTGGGCAGGGAGCTCAGCCCACATTTGAGCTGCCACTTTGGGAAGTGAAAACCTTGGGAAGGAAGCTAAACCTTGTTTAGCTTGCAGGTGCAGTTTCAGTACACCCACTCAACGGAAGCAGTATCACAGGTCTGTTACTTATAGATTCCAGGCGTGGGGTGAGGTGGGGGCACAATGAGCCCGCGCATGGGTGGTCTCCTATTCCAGGCCATGTGTGAGCAGGAGCTAGAGAGCAAGATAGAAATCATCTGTTACTTATAAGGTGCTTGGGGTAGAGGTTGCCAACTTTTGTGGGCTCACCTCTAAGCGATTATTTTTAAAAGGTGCACCAGAAAAAGCAAAGTGGCAGGGATCCTAAGCACAGGTCCTTATCTAAATGTTCAGATTTTGGGAGTGTGAGCAGGGTTGGCTTACTGTAAAATGCCTAGGCAGCAACTCATAATAGCTGTCTTCTCATCACAAAATCCTACTGTTGGGGACCAGATCCCTGTATCCCCATACTCCCTTCCTTTACTTTACTACTGGAGACACCTTCCCGTCTCCCTCTGGTCAAACTTTATCACCTTCAGGGTTTCCAGATGCTTCACAAAGCCTTACGAAGGTCCTTCTGCTATTTTTACAATTCCTCATCCTGTTGGGCCCCCAGACTATGGAGAAAATGCTCGCCCAGTGACCACAAGCAGGAACCCTAGAGTTTGTGTGTATTTGAGTGAAGATCCCCTGAGCACCTCACAGAGGTGGGCACGATGGCTTATTAAGAGATGAGCTAAGGGGACAGCGCCGCCTGCTCTGGAGCTTGGCGACCACTTGCCTTTGTGCAGACCTCAGGGTACTCCCCTGTCCTGTTCAGGATGAGGTGCAGGCCCCCCTGTCTGCAGGGCTTCCCCAGTTGTGCAGTGCCTCCCTCCCTGGTGCAGGGCACAGGTGCGAGTGTTGGTGGAGCACCTGTTGTTCTCCGCTTTTTGCTCTGCGCCCTCACCCGAGCGTGTTAGACTGTCTCTAAGAACATGTGGTGTTGACATCAGGAGAAACAGCATGACAAGAGCCCGAGTGGAACGGCTTCAGACTGAAGCCACTTTTGGTCACATCACATAGTCTCACGCAACAGCATCTTTCCCCTTATTTTGGTTTCACCCCTTGGGCTGCTTCACATACCATAAAAGGCTGAGAATGAGTTAAGAAGCAGTTTCAGAAGGGCCCTCTAAGCTCAACAGGTGTAAAGATGTTATCTCGACTCTGGTTACAGGTGTTGTGTAGAGAGAGACATTCGCTGGTTTTCTTACAAGCTATGAAAGCCCAAGTTTGAGCCGTCAGCCCTGTGGATCTCTATTTCCCAGCTAGCTGAGGCCAGGCCCAAGCTAAGTTCTGGAAGTAGAGAAAGTCTCCCTTGGGTTCTAGAAGCCACCATGATCTCACCTACATTTATAGTTGTCTGCCTGTCCCAGACAGCCACACAGTAGACCACAGTGTATGCTGTATTTATAATCTCTTTATTCTAATATTTAAAGGCTGTAGGAATTATCAGATTGTTTCCAAAAGAATCATGAGCTAAGGTGGTTGCCTTTGCCAACAAGAATGAAAAATAAACACGAAAGCAACACTTCGTGTTTCCCTCAACTCCAGTCATCAGTAACCACCTTGATCTTCCTATTTTGCTGAGAGCCGTCCTCATGGGATGGACAGTTGTCACTTTCCATGTGCTGTCAGGTAAGACAGTGACGGCCACCAGTGAACGCCGTGCTCGTGCAGAGAGCCACGGGCCTCCGCAGTCATGCCGTCACCCGTAGTAACAGCATCCAGACCCAAGTTACTGTGCTGCTGGTGGCTTAGCAAGCTCACGGATTGTAACCTTGAGAGCATCACGAATCTAAGAAATCAGATAAGGAACTTCCTTGAGTGCTATGTGTTTGGTGCAGCCAGGCCTGGGCAATGGACACTCTCCTCCCTCCAAGCATCCCTTTCAGAAAATTAAGCTGCATCCTGATAGCATTAAATGATCCCAGTCTATTTCTATCACCTCTGAAATATGAGACCCTTCTAGAATCTTCTATCTTCAGCTGATATGAATTCAGATTCCGGGTTTCTGGACCACTGCCGTAAGGGTTTCTACTTGTGAACTGCCAGACTGCCCCAGACTGAGGCACCGAAGCCCCTTGTGTGAAGGATGGCGGGTGTGTCTCACTTGTGGGGTCTTGATTATGAATTTGAGGAGACTGGAATAGAAGCCAGCACTGAGTGCTGACTACCTGCTGCTGCCTTTCTTGGCACACAGTAGCACTATCTCCTTCAGGAAGGAAGGCGGAGCAAGCAGGAACCTAGGAATCATCACGGTCATCATCTTCATCTTTTGGTGGGGAAACTGAGATTTTAGGAAGCTCTCTATTTTGCCAGAAGGTTCTCAGCTGGTAAAAAGGAGAGGCAGGACCTACCAGCCTCCTGTAGAGCCTGCAATGCATTTCACATTGTTTGTTTTTGGTTCCCTTTGGCTGGCTGATTCAGACGCAGCCCAGTTCAACAACAAAATGCACGCGCTGCAGAAGGGACAGACGCGGAGGGGCCGCAGCTTTCCTTGGCCTGTGCCAGTTCTGGGAGCCCCGAGCCCAGAGATTATGAATTACTTCCTCAGGCACACAGAGTGAGAAAGGGAAACGGGAAAAATAAAATCTCCCATAAGGACATGTGTTGAAAAGTCACTTTCCTCACCGCTCCTGACCCTGCTCCTCCGCTTCCCGGCTCAGCGGCGCCCGCTCGAGGCTCCTCCGCACGCGCCTTTGCATGTATCCGGCTCCCTCAGGCTGCCCCCAGCGCGCGGCACAGGTAGAAACACCCAAGGGACCACCCTTCACCCTGCTGTTTTCTCAGTGTGTCCTGCGGGTGTTTCCATGTCCACATTAAATACCTTTTGTATGTAGTGATATAATTTGTATTTCACACTCACCTATTTCAATTCCGCCTTTCTATTGTCTTAAGACTTTCGCTTCCACTCTAGCAATTCCTGCGCACGGTGTAGGTTTCCTTGCACATGTGTCGCTCGGTGTCCGTGGGGTGAACTCCCGTAAGTGGAATTCAGAGCCCAGGATCTGAGCACCCCTGGGCACGTCTGCGGGCAAGCGTGTCCCCGAGGAGCTAACAGCCCTGCAGGCCTGCTGCGGCGGCCGTGCCCTCTGCCTTGGGCACCGCGGGCTTGGGAAGAACGTTGCCAGATTTCCATCTGTGGGCGAGCAGAACGGGTTCTGATTGCTGGCGGGGCGTGAGTTCCTGCCTCTGGCACCTACTCGGAGCTGCTTCTGGCACAGCTGAGGTGAAAGCTAACGTCCCAAGTCAGCGTTTTGGCCCCTCGTCTGCTCTTTCCCCGGCTCCATTCCATCCTCCTTTTCACCAACTGCTTGCGCCGCGTACAGGTACTTCTCTTCCCCACCGATGTCACCCCCTTCTGCCCCTTCCTTGGCCGGGCTGATTTCCTCAGATCCTTCTAGATCCCAGGAATGACTGTCCTGCCCCACCCCCCCGGCACCTCTACACCTTCTGTGCTGTGGGGAGCATCTTTGCAGGGGCTGCCGGGTTACTTCCCATCCTACCACATGTCCTCACACTCTCTCTAGCTGTTGAGCTGGTGTCACGTTGTCATTGTTCGCAGCCAGCAAGCACCGAGCCCCGGCCAAGGCCGGGACCCCACAGCAGGTTCTGTCAGAGATGTCTGCAGACTCCTAGCTGTGCCCCCTCACAAAGGCAAAAGTAGCACTCAGAACACTGTCACATTAGATAACTGCCAAATTAGGTAGACACTGAAAATGTCTCTGGAGTTAGCGGGAACAGAACAGCTGGTGAAGGTGGGCCTGGAGCTGGGCCTTGCAGGGCGGAGGCTTGAAATAGCTGGGTTGCATCACTGTTGATGGTGATATTAGTGAGTAGCCACCCTGATTGGCAGGCAGAGCGCTGTGCACAGGCCATGGGCTCCTTCTCACACTCCAGCCCCAGTGGGAGAGATCGCTGTTGCTCCCCTTCTGCAGCTGAGGAGGGTGGTGAGAGAGGTTGAAGACGGGGCCCCAAGGACGTGTGCTAGCTGAGCCCTCTTCAACCTGTTAACCAAGTCTGTTTGGCTCCCAACTCCTCCTCCCCTCCACTGATTCCTCACTAGCAGGGAACCCCCCCTTGTCTTGGCAGACTAGGGATCCGCACTTGCACCCTGGGTCCCTTGTCTGACAGCCTCGTTGTCATTCTAGGACTTCTGCCACGGGCAGGTGATGTGGCCGCCTCTCAGTGCCCTGCAGGTGAAGCTCGCTAAGCCCGGGCAGTCCTGCAAGCAAGTGTGCCAGGAGAACCAGCTCATCTGCGAGCCCTCTTTCTTCCAGCACCTCAACAAAGACAAGGACATGCTCAAGTAAGTGTCTGAGGGAAAGGGGAGTAGGAGTGGGCTTGCTCAGCCTCCAGCTCCACTTCTGGGTGAGAGCTGGGTTTGCAGGCCTGTGGGCTGTCAGAAAAAGATGTGGGAAGGGGGAGCAGGTTGCAGCACGACACCCCCAGCCCCCACCCACCTACCAGAGCAAGTTCACCCAGCATTTTTATTGTTAAGTGAATGAGGTCACCTGGCGTGGTATATTTAGAATTTAAATGGGGGTGTTGTATCTGCATAAATAATGCCACGTCTGGGCTTGGAGATTGTGGGAGGTGTTCAGTTTGCTAATGTTACACCCAAGAACCATGGGGAGAAGAGGTGGGCCCAGAACCACAAGCACAGAGCGACCCACACTTGGGTTCCCCCGGAGGAGCCAGATAGTGTCTGGCCAAGCAGCAGGTGACAGTCTTCACCTGGTGTTAGGCAGGAGTGAATGGGCAAAGAGCTGGCACAGAACTGTCACGGGGGATCTCACGCCACCTTCCCCTCCTGCAGTCCCCTGCCCGCTTCTGCGCTCTTTTCCGGCACCGTTAGCACACAGTGCATTGCAGGGGGCATGAGTAGCCTTGATCCTGCTGGTCCCTTGGCAGGGAGGTGAGTGCAGCACCTACACAGGCCAGAGCTGCCCCAGGAGAGGCCTTCTGTGTAGCTTAAGTTTTCCCCTTGGTCTTGAGTTGCTTTTAGGGATGTCATGTGTTTCCCTTTGCAGTGGCATTTTGAGTTTGGCATTTGCAGTTCCCAAATTTCCACGTGAGTTCTCTCTGGCCTCTGACTCATGAGCCCTGTCAGTGCTAAATCTGTGCCCCTAATTTTTGTCACACTCACCACATATATCTTAATAACCAGCCTCCCTCTCCCCATCCCTGCACCTTAATAGCTATACTTAGGTGTTTCCTTCTAGAGGTTTGCTATCCCTACCCTATCCAGGGCAGAAGTCTGGGATCAGAAGGGGAGCAATGGGACAGAATCCTCTGTTCCTCACTTCTCTCACTCGTAAAATAGGGTCATCCTGGATGATGGTGAGGTAAGGTGCAGCCAGTGCTAAAAACAGCAGAAAGTCCTTCTGCAGAGGCTTGGGCAGTGGTGCAAGCCTGCGGCCCCTCCCCACCCTGAACTCCCTGCAGAGCCCAGACAAGCCGAGGCCATGGTGCGGAGCTGTCTGTGGTCCTGTGCTATGCGATTGCTTCTCATGCCACCCACTCTGCAAACGTGTGGGTTTTCTCCCTAGGAGGCTAGGGTGAATGCTGATTGATTTTGCAATAAAGCCGCTTGAAATTAAGCCTCTGAACATAAGGGCCCTACTGAATACCTTGTTCCCGAAAGGTGAGATCTAATGAGCAGCAGTCCACAGCGTGCTACCTGGGAGTGGGCAGGCCCTGCCCATCTGTATTCAAGGCCAGGCAGCAGCGGGCGCTTCCAGCAGCCACTGCTGTGCTTTCCCTTCTCCAACCTGGGGCCTGGTTGTGGACGAAGTCCTTGCACTCTTTGGGTCTCCATGACCTGGAGGCCTGTTGTATAGGATAAAAAATTTGTATCTCATAATTTTAGCCCTTGGAGCGGCCTACATTGTCCCCTTGAATCAGGGAAGGGAAGCTTGTCTTTGTGCTCCTGCAGGACCAGGTGTAAATGCTGGAGGTTAAGTGCAAACACGGAGCCTGCCCAGGCCGGTGGGACTGGGACCAGGATCCGGAAGGCAGAGCCCCTGCCTGTTTGGCCCCATGTGGGGGGCTTCCAGTCCATAACCAGGGCCCCGTGGTAATGTGAAGCCTGGCTTGCCATGTTGCTGCCTTCCCCAGTGTGTCTTCTAAAACACTAAATTACTGGGGCTTGGGGCTCTTTTGAAGAGGGAATTGTAAGCCATGGCATCGATGCGTGCTGTGGTGCCTGAGAAAAGGGAAGTGGCCCCGAGTCACAGTGCTCGCAAGAGTGTTTGTGGGGACATGGCAGAGACAGGGTGAGGAGAGGCTGCAAGAGGGGAGGCGCTCTATGCAAGGACCAGCAGGTGGCACAGCCCTGCCTCCATCTCTCCATCCTGTCAGTCTCTTTTGGGGGGAATGGGCAGCCCCAGGGAAAGGGGGGTGGAACTTTGCCCTTTTATTCTTCTCCAAGAACTATAAAATGTGAACAGAAGCCCCAGCTCCCATCCTGTAAAAGGAGGAGAGAGGCAGCACCGCACCACAGGGGCCTGCAGGGAGGAAGCAGCTCTGTATGTGTGTGTGGGGGGGGGGCGGGGGGAGTGTGAGAGTGTGGGAATGAGTGCAGGGCTGTGGATGTGTGAAAGGGGGCAAGAGTGTGTGAGTGCGTGTGAGGCAGACACCGCAGGAACAGAGGCTGCAGCAGCCGCTTGCCTACCCTTAAAGGGGCAGTGCCACAGTTAGGGACTGAGGCTTACTGGACCGAGGAGACTGGTTTCTGGGGTACTGTACAACTGGGGTAGGTCACCCATCTTTCTAGTGAGTTTTACTCTTTCCAAGGATGTGGAGCAGCCTTCCTGACTTCCCAGGGCTGAGGGATGGGGGACCTGCAGGGAAAGCCCCCTGGAAACTAGGAGCTTGGGTGGTGTCCAGAACTGGCCAGAGCTGTGTGTGCTCACAGCCCCACCAGTTGACCCTTTGGGGAACAGACTGTGGTTCAGCGAACATGTGCTGCTTGAGCACTCTTGCTGGGGGGAGGTCTCTGGACATCATCCCTGCACAAACTGCTTCCTCTGCGGCCTCGACTGAGGTGTGCTCACAGACGTGCATGTGCTCAGTCTGGGGGGCTATGTCCAGACTCTGAGTCCACGTGGCCAGGAACAGGAGGGTTTCTTTGTGGCTCCTGACAATTTTACTCTGCCATGGGCTCTGAGATTCATTGTAGATATATCCATCCTCTTGCTTAGCAGTATGAAAGGCAGATGCAAAGAACCTTCTAGAATTCACCTAAATAATTAGTAGGAACATCAATCTTACCCCAGTACCATATTCCACATGAAAAAGCAAACTTTTAATGCACAATTGAACTCTGATACCCCTTCCTCTGGATAAGCTATTAAGGGTATCCTGTGAAGGACCTAGAAACCCTAAATTCCCTGACTCATTTTTCCTTTAGGAAATCCACAAACCCCCATTTCCTGCCTCATTTTCATGGTCCATGACCTTGACCCTGTGCATGCATCTATCTCCCAGCTGGCAAGGCAAGACGAGAGGGGCAGGGCACAATAGAGGAGCCAAGAGGTTTCTGGGGATTGCATGAACAAGATCAGTGGTGCCACTGCCCACCAGGACACCGAGCCCACTGGCACCTTCAGGGAACTCACCAGAAGCCCCAGTAGATGAACGAGAAATTGCCAGCATAACCTTAGCAGGCAGGGCGCAGGCAGTTAGTCAGAGGATGACAAAAAGAGGCAGAGTAAGAGAGGGTATGATGCTTCCCTCCAACAACTGGAAGCTTTCCAGAGGCAGCAGGAAACCTCAAGTTTCCCAATGTGATCCCTTCCCTGTTGGCAAGAACAGGCTTCCACAAACAAAGCAAAATGGAGACTGTTGCATGGGTGTAAATTTACATCATCGGGCAAGGGAGGAAGGCAGAGCAGCCCATGCAGCACTGCCAGGGCAGGGTGGTCAGAAGGATGGTGGCGATGATTGCAATCATGGTGAGAGTTACCAGTAATTAATTAATAATTACAGTAACTAATTCATAGTTACCAGAGAAAGACTCTGCCAAGTACTCTGTGAGCACTAATTTAATTCCTACCTCTCCCCTGTGAGTTAAGATTATCCCCATTTGGCAGAAGAGGAAATAGACACAGAGAGGCTCAGGCTTTCGTCCCAGGTCACACAGCTCATACGAGATGAAACCAGGACTCAAACCCAGGGCCCTCTGGTCCCCGCTGTGCTTTCCTCCTTGAACTGGTTCCCACCTGGCCTGTGAGACACGGTGCTGAACACCTAGTGAGGCATTGTTCTGGGGGAACCATGGCAGGTGGGGCCACGGGGACCACAGGTAGTGGTCCCCGCCTCCAAAAGTCTCCGGCCCACAGACAGGGCCACAAGGGTCTCCAGCCCACAGACAGTTTCAGCTGCCGGGAGACAGCAGAGGGGAACAAGGGCACAGGGCCTGAGCTCAGGGGCTAGATACTGAACCCTGCTCTGCAGGCCTCGGGTACTAAGCTCCAAGGTGGGGGGAGGGGAAGGCCAGGCCAAAGGGTGACTGCAAAGCTCCAGTGAGTCAGTGTCCCCCTAGACATCGCCCACCCTCAGGAGACCATATGCTTGCTTTCCTGCAGGAGACTGAGGCCGTTTAACAGGGATTTTTAAGAGGGCAATAAAAATATTAAACATAATTTTTGAAAAGACTTAAATAATGTGCATCTTTGCTACTCTCATTCCTCAGAAGTAACCACTGTTAGGCTTTAGTGTGTAGCCTTCCTTATTACATGTATGCGCTCACACACACACACACACACACACACACACACACACCACCCACCCCCACCCCCCCATTGTACATCCATCCTGCTGCAGGCCTCTCCATTCAAGCGCTTGCATTTCTACCTCATTCTTTTTAAGGGCCACACAGAGCCCTGAAGCACTGAGGGGTCATAATTTATTCAGTCAGTCCCCCCCTTGGTGAGTATTCAGGCTGTTTCCAGTTTTTCTTCATGACAAACAAGTGTCACACATCTCCGCTTTCATGTCCACCCTTCCCGGTCCTACATCCCTAGGGGCAAGAGTGACTGGGCCAGAGGCTGGCTGCCCCTTCATTTCCATAGCAGGAGACCCAGGGAGCTCCCCACGGGGGCTGAAGGAGCCAGTAAGGACAGGCCCCGCGTCGCCAACCCCTGTGCCTTTCTCTCCCTCTTCAGGTACCAGGTGACCTGCCAAAGCTCAGACCTGGCCAAGGACATCCTGGTGCCCTCCTTCGACCCCAAGTACAAGCACTGTGTGTTTCAAGGTGACCTCCTGCTGTTCAGCTGTGCCGGCGCCCACCCCAGACACCAGAGGATCTGCCCCTGCCGGGACTTCATCAAGGGCCAGGTCGCCCTCTGTAAGGACTGTCTATAGCGCAGGCCGGCTCCAAGCACACTCCGCTGGGAAAGACATTGGCTCCAGCCCTGGGGGACGAGCCGGGGGCTCCGAGTCATCCAGGGACTCTCGCCAGAGCCTGAACATTTTGGTGGAAGGTTTCGATTTGGTGTTGCTCCTACTGAGGTCAGCACCACAGTGGAGTTCTCGCCAAAAGAAAACCAGAGCAGATGTCAGGCCCGGCGCCTGGCCTCTCCCTGGCACAAACTATCGGGAGACTCTTGACGCAGCTGCTCCAGGATAGAAAGAGAGTCTCAAGATTTATTTCAAAACAAAACCAGAAACGGAATTGAGCGGATTGGAGAAACTCTATATGGGAACATTCTTAAACCCATTAACTTATTTATTTGGGGGAGGGTGGCGGGAGGGCAAAGGGAGTGATCACAATTCTTGTTTCTTCTTTGATTTTTCCACTGTTCACCATCCGCTGTCACTATGATATCCCTGTCTGCGTCGGGTGGGGTGCAGGAGGGAGAGACTGTGCTGTGGGGCTGCTGGCACTCTTGAGGGCAGCTGTGGGGACCTCACTCCTCTAAGTGATGGTGGGACAGCAACAGGAAGTCATGTGTGGCATGACAGACGGCAGCTAGAGGACAGGAATCCCTGGGGTGGGGGACCTGCCAGTGTTGTCCAGAGAGCCCGGCCAGGGACCAAAGATGGGGCTGCTTTGCAGTGAGAGAGTCTCCTTTTCTCTCTCTGCCCGCCCCCCGCCCCCGACACAGTTTGGTCCTAATTTCGGTTAGACTTCCTTTAGGAAAAAATGCGATGGCGGGGAGTTGACATTTGCCAACGTGTAGTAAATCGGACCTCCCTTCCGTGCCCCAGGAGGGACGAGGGGAGAGACACAGAGCTGTGAGTTATCTTGAGCTTGCAGATCTTGCTCACTAGTCCCCCGGAGGGTTCTCATTGAACTGGGGTTCCGACAAGACTGCAGCTGGCCCCGTCACTGAAGTCCAGGAATCTAGGACCCGCTTTGCACTTGATGTTGGCTGGGGGGTGGGGGGGAGAGCAGGGGCAGGTCGGGGTGAATGGGGTGCTGGCCTAGTGTTCACCTGGAGGTGTGGGTGTGGCCCGCCAAGGGTGGGAGTCTGATGCCGACTTTTACTCCAAGCGCGAATATTCTGAGGGGCATTGAGCTGACAGATTGGCCCTCCCTGGAACCCTGGAGTCCCGGTGCACCCCCTTCACCAAGCACTGCGTCAGTGCTGTGAGAGTCCTGCCCCAGTCTCTTGATACTGGTAAGAGTGGACCCTCTTCTCTCTCTTGCAGAATGTCCCCATTCCAAGCTACTACCTGGCCCACCGAGCCCTCCAGGGGTCTTGAGTGCCTCGCTCACTGGGTGCTTCACTCGGCGCCACCGGCAGCCCTGTGCTTCCTTGCACTGGGCAAGCAGTGGAGCAGAAGAGAGGCAAGGCTAATGGCAAGGGTAGGCCTTCGGGAAGTGAAGCTCAAGGAGGAATTCGGCTTTGGGAAGACCATAGGGAGGTGGATTCTTAAGGTAGGGGAAGGTAGATTCTGCCTGCTGCTTCTCAATTATCCCCTGGTGCATAGGTGGTAGCAAATGCCTGGCAAGCCTTTCTGTAGTAGACCTTCACTAGATTGTACCTCCAATCCTAGGGGGGAGGGAGGGCAGCCAGGATCTCCCCAAGACCTTGTGTCAGGGAGAGTACTGATGGGGAGGCCTCCGCCCTGAGCGCTGATGGGTGCAGGGGCCCCTCACAAACTGGCTGAGACCAGCCTCTGCGGAGGCCCAGCAACAAAAAGGGTGTAGTCCAAAGGAAACCTTGGTGATGGGTATGTGTGTGTGTGAACTTGCAGAGCGTGTGAGAGAGAGAGAGAGAGAGTGAATGCGGTGTTTTAATCTTTGCAAGGGCAGTTTCCTGCAGTAGGAGGAGAAACCACTAAGCTTTCCATGCTGTTAGGAACTGCTTTTCCCCATGAATGGCCCTCTTGGCTGCACCCCTGGTTGTGGAAAATTTGCTTGCACTCCCAGGCCTGCATGCAATTCCTGGGCTGCTTCTGCCCTCTCCTGGGCTCTGCTGATAGCTTCCAACCTGAACGTGTCAGGCAGGCATTGGCCCAGCAGGGGGAGCCTCCAGACGGAGGCTATTTCCCAAGCCCGGCTGGAGGACCCCCTTGAGCAGAGAGCTGTTTAAATAAGCACAGCACGGGAACTCAGAAGACAAGGAAGCTGCTGGAAAACGACTTTCTGTAGAAAGAAGCTATGCCTGCCTTGTGTTCCAGAAGTAACAGGCGGTGTTTACTGGCTGCCCCTGAGCTCAGGGCCTCGCCTCCTTTCCATCCATCCTTTCCTCTTCTCACATCAGGGCGCTCGGGCCAGGCCGCTGAGCAGAGCACTTTTACAAAGTCCCTCTCGCTTTGTCTAGTTCCATACTGGTCGCAGCTCTGCTGGCAGGGCTGGGGCTCCGGGGGCAAACCAGCCCACACTCCAGTTGCTACGGGCATTATGAAGAGCGGTGGCAACCGGGAATGTATCTGGCTCCCCGGCCCCACACGCTTGGCCCAAGGGAGGAGCCTGGGGAAGGGCTTCCAGGAAAGGGTTCCTGCCTGCCCTGGAGGAAGGCCCCTCTCCGGGTGGGCTGGGGGCCTCCAGTGATTTGCCGGTGCCCATCTTAAAAGAATCCTTAACCAACTTGTGACTGACACTGCTGCAGGAAAAGAAATCCTTCGGCAGCAGCACAGCTCCTGTGCTAGGAGGGCATCTTGCCTGGTGTTTGTTTTTTTGTTTTTGTGCATATTTTTCCGAAGTGGAAATTGGAATTTTCCCCCATTATAATCCTAAACTCTTTAAAAACGAGGGGAAAAAAAAGTAATGAAGGGAGAAAATGTTCCCTTGAGAAATACATGCTTTCAAGAGTAAAACCAGTTTTTACTCGTGAAAGGGGAAACACTACTTTTTATGCCAGTAAACACCTCATTGATTCCGTGTATGTGATTTGATTTGCACATGTGAAAGTGGAGACATTTTTTGCGTTTTTGCTTAGATGGGGTTTTTGTCACTGCTCATAGTTTGCTTTTGGTGTGTGCTGTATGTTTGGAAATACTAGGAGTTGTTTGTTTGATATTTATTATTTCTCTGATGTGCCTTTTCACTTTCCTTTGGGGTTGGTTTTTAGAATCTGGCTGCTCTTGAGGGAAGATTTCTCCAGCTTGGAGAGAGGACATGTTTTTTGTCACTGCAGATGCTCAGACCGGGCATCAAAATTGCCCTCCATGCCACAGTATACGTACGCATATACCCCACGTGCCATGAGAACCCCAAGAGAAGGGCTGGCTTCCTCCAGACCAGCCACGCTCTCCTCAGCTGCTCACCCATGCCTTTGGGTGCATCTGGGGACTGCTGGTTGCCAGGTGCCCGGGGGCCTGCACTGGCTGCCACCCAGGCACTTGGGAGGTGTGGCTGGGGCAGACCAGCCCTATCTGCGGGGTTGCACTGAAGGGGAGCAGGCCCAGCTGAGCTCATAAGCAGCACTGGCCTAAAAGCACTATCTAGTTAGCATCATACAGGGGAAAGATCATGAACCCCCCTTTTTTGTTACCTTGGTGAGCGCAGGACTTACTAGTGGCGACTCCCTTTGGGAGCAGAGCCCCAGTGCAGCTCTCTGGTAGTGACGGCGTAAATGCCTCCCGTTGGACTGAAACCGTGTGCTGTTTAGGCGGGTTTGTGCGTTCTAGACCCACCAAGGCAGGCCACCCCGTGTCTCCAAGGTGCATATAAAAGGGACCTCGCCACCCACCCACATTCCCCCCAAATTCTTGATTTTAAAAAAGGTTTATTTTGTTAACGACGGGCTCTGTTGTGTGTGATATCCCAAGCCTGGATTGTTTTATTTATTTAAAAGTATTGGAAGCTCCATATTGGCTTCTTTCTAATCCCATTCATCCCTGTGGGGCTGCAGAGCACCTTCGCGTGAAGAGGTAGATAGACATAGACTCCTGCTTTTTTAGGAAAGTGGGAACTACCTAAAGGCTGAGGCTAAGTTCTTTTCGTACTTGTTGGCTTCAACAGCAATGGACAGTCACATTTTTTATAGCAAAAGGCCAAATTAGCTGTATAGTCTGGATGCAGAAATAAATTGCCCTAGCTTTGTCCTTAGCACTTAGGGTTTTTGTGAGGATTCAGTGTTTAGCAGTGTCGGGCACATAGTAAGCCTAGTCAATGTTAATATTGTTATCATCATTAGAATTTCATACACTTTGAGAAATACAGAGCTGAGCTCACACCCTACCTGTTGAGTAATATCTACATGGAGATATCGTTCCAAAGTGATGTACTAGCACAGGAATTACTGGTTTAAGATGTTCATGTTCCGTGCCCACCCTGCTGGTTGGAACATTGCTGTATCCCTGAATGGACTGATTTGAAAATATGCCAGTTGAAACCAGGCTCAAGAATTTGTAAACTGGCAATGAAAAAAAGGGTGGCCTTTGGCCACATACTGGCCCTCACACCATGGAGGTCTTCTGGATGACTCCTGGGTTTGTCTTTGCAAAACTTTTTAATCCACAAATTGAGTTCTGATACACCCTGAAAATCAGAGTTAATTATGGTCCTCTGAAATAGGAGACTTTGTTTTTTATTTAAAAAGAATAAACAGTGGAGTTTCTGCCTTTCCCAGGAAGTCCCTCTGTTGTCCCCTGCTGGCCAGGGAGGCCCCTCCACAGACCAATCCTCAGGGACCAGACTCCTGGGCTGGTTAGCTGTCACTTATTTCTGTTGGTCCTCGTCCCAGAGAAGACCCAGCTCCCCAAAGCCCAGCCAAGACTCCCTCCGGGTGGGGGTGGGAGGGGTGCAGCACCCTTCAGAGGTTCAGTGATGTTTTCCTGATCACCAAAAATACCAGTTCACTTTTTTGTATGATTGGGCATTCAGCCTCTTCCCTAATATCTAGAGTTCTGTCTCCTGTCCTGTCTCGGCCTAACTGGATAGATTATAGTTGTGGAATATGGAGAAATTTGCTAGACTCCAGTATCTTTTTCAAGTTCCTTTGGATCCTCTTCGACTGAATCAGTAGTCGTCTTCTGTGGATGTAAGTTTGAAATTTACCTTCTTCTAAGCATCACCCCCCCCCAATCCCCAGGTTTTGTGCAGCCTTAAGATCCTCACACCCTCCGTCACACAGCTGGTGAGGGGTGGAAGGGGGGGCCATATGCTCACGCATGGGTGGCCCTTCTGTGGGTGGCACTGAGGGAGCACTCCAGGTGCGGGAGGTAGAGCGGCCTCACTGGAACCTTAGCACAGTCTGCCAGCTCTGCCAAAGTGGAGATGGAGAACACTTGAGAAGCATTTTGCTCACTGCCCCAGTATTAACAGGGCAATCACGGAACAATCGATGCCAAAGGAGATGGTGATGTCCTTGCTTCTGTAGCTGCTGTCACAACCTTGATGTCTTTAGGCTAATGGCTGTTTGCGTCTGTCTTCAGCTCCTGGTACAACCACTTTCTACTGTTCACTTCTGGGGTTAAGTAGTGCAGGATTCTGCAAATAAGGTGTCGCTGTCCAAATGTACTGTACCGGCATAGAGAGCACTGCTTTGTTTTCCACTGTTGTAGAGAAAACTAGGGAGAACTTTATTTTTCAATAAATTTTTCTTGTGTCACAGGTGGAAGTGATTTTTGGGGGGAGGGGGCTGGGAAGCAGGGTCACCTACGGAACAAAGCTCGGCCACTGTCCTGCTGGTGTCCACGGACCACATTACATCGTTTGTGAAAGTGCTGCAAATGCTGATGGGAAGGTACGTTTAAGGAGTGGAGGGGGCAAGGTTTTCCTGTGGGGTGAAAGTTCCCTACACACATCACCAGGAACCACTTCAGAGCACTCTTTCTGCCCTACATTCACCTAGCAGGGAGCTGAATTTGTGGATTGCTGGCCTTTTGAATTTTTTTTAGATAATTGTGTACTATATCAGAATGTTTCAAAGTCGTTAAGAATGTACTAGTAAGATAGTCCCTAAAAGGCTATCTGGGGATCTATTAGACCTGGAACAGGGCCCCCCCCTCCCACCCCCATGCACACAAGGGTGAGTCTGTGCCCACACGGGCTTATCTGGAGGCCCAGGCTCTGAGGCCCTCAGGGCACCTGCCCACTGCCCATAGCACACCACGTGGGTGGTACCCGTAGTGTTTGGTGGGACACACAAGTGTCACGCACTCATTGTTTGTAAGTGTGCTATATAGTAGCCTCCCCGGTGTCAAATCCAATGAGGAAAACTTCAGGGGAGAAAAATTGAATCTTGCATTTCCTAGACTTTCCCTTGTACCAAGTGACCAGCCCATAGAACACGCAAGATGCTTGGAGGAGGAGCCTCGCCGAAAGCATCAGAGTGAAATAAGGTCAGTGACCTCTTATGACAAACCACCTGAAACGGGTGGGTGAGGTGGCAGAGGCAGGGGTGAAGCCTGGGGCACAAGTGGGCACCTACCCCATTTGGGCCTCTAAGCCCATCACCACGGCATTCGAGTCTCCACTCACACTCCCTGTGGCGCCACCCCACCCCAGCCTTCAGCCACAACAGAAAACCTGCCAGTGACAACTCTCCAAGAGAACCTCACTGTACCATACAAAACAGGTAAAGGTGTTTATTGGTCAGCCACTGTTGCCGGGACAAGCAGCAGTGCTAGAGGTACAGAATGTTGTGTTCGGGGGGGACATCTTGGTGGACTCTACACCGAGCATTACATAAACTGAGAACATCTGGTCCTTACAGAGGCGTGCGCCATCTCTAACGACCGTAATGTGCCTTTACCACTTAACACAGCATATAGATATATGCGTCTAAGGATAGATTATATAATTATTTATTACAAATAACTGTAGTTTCGCATGTCTCAAAAATGGATCCTTTTTTTACACGTATGTTCGGGTTCTCAATGTTCAAGAAAGGGTCATGTGCTTAGCTCATCCATGCAAAGCTCCTACATGTATATCACTAAGGACTTTAAAAATAGAATGGTCTCCTTTTGAACAAACCTGTTTAGATTTAGGTTTAGTAAAACAGTATGAAACTAATGAAATACATTGATAGAAATTAGGAAGTGATCTATACTGATGGTTCTGGGTATGGAAAGGGTCTTCCCTTAGAGGCTGCCAGGAGAAAAGAGGGGGGCGCCCAGAGGAGGTGGGTCTGGTCAGTCGCTGTCCATTCCAGGCCGAAAGCACCACAGAGCAGCTTTCTGCCAAGCAGAGATCTTATCCTACCCACAAGGCTCCTTACTCCAAGAGATTCAAAAGGTCAGTGCCGGCTGGAGATGGGGCAACCAGTCTCCCCTCCTGTGCGCTGCCCTCATGTGTTTGAGGGGGAGCCGTGCAGACCCACCTGCTGGGCAGACCTCCTTCCCATGAGCACAAATGTTCCAGAAAAGAAATTGGATGTTCAGGTAAATATTGGCACCGTCTGCCTGTGTAGAAACCTCTCATCCTGCGCGACGGAGCAGCTGGTTCTTGCCCCACTCACTCAAACATCTCGTAGTGGCGTGTCTGCCTCACCCTGGGCACCATGTCGATGAGGAGTCTGCAAGGACCAGACAGATGGCCTTTCAATATATATACACACACACACGTTAGCATAAAATTCACCCTCCTGAAGGGCACAGACCAGTGGATTTTAGTAGATTCCTGGTTCTATCAACCACCATCTCTAAAAGAAACCCCAAATCTGGTCAATCCCTATTCTCCCCTCCCCACCTCCTCTGGCAACTTCCTCTAAGTGAAATTATTCCACACATGACTGACTTCTTTCACTTGTCATAATCTTTTGGAGGCTCATCCATGCTGTAATATGGATCATGCTACATTCCTTTTATGACTGAATAACACTCCACTGTAGGACTAGATGTCATAGTTACCCAGCATCTCAACTATTTCCAAAGTGGTGGCACTGCTTTGGGGATCAGACTTAGGCCACAATGGTGATATCTCTGAGACTTAACCCCTAGGCCACCAGGGAGGCCTCCAAGACAAGAAGAGTTTTAACATTTAAAAGCTCAGGACTTTTGAAATAGTTTTTCCAAAAGCCCACTCCAGCCTGGATTTCAGCTGTAGCCAGTGACACCTGTATATACTTCCTCAGTGTTGGGGCTCAGTGCGACTCCGCTGCACTGACAAGTCTGAAAGTGGGGGGACCCAGAGTCAGGCCACTCCCCAAAGCTGCCTACCTGGTACATTGTAACTGTAGAGAAAGGAGGGGTACAGGTCTTCAAGTACGAAGGGATAGACAGGACTGTTCAGTAAATTATAAAGCCCGCACCAAAAAGGAGGCCTCTCTGACATACAGCCTACGGCTTTTGTCAAAGTCGCTGCCTCACTTCAGTGTCAGTCACAGAATATCTAATCCCTGGCTGGGAACTTTTCCAGTTGGCTGGCCTCACCCAAGTTCAGAAGGGTCAAAGGTAGGGGACGTGACTGTTGGCTAGAAAAGGCAGTCCTTCTGGCTGCCAGGGAGGCAAAGATGAGCTCAGGCACTTACTTGACCCCGTAGGCAAATATGGTGAGGCCAATGAGCACGCCGATGCTGCCGTCCAGATACCAGACTGCTGCGTTATGCTTGAAGACCTCTGCACTCAGAAGAATGGAGAAGCCCATGACACCCCCCACCAGGGAGTTAAATCCTGAAAGAGAAGCAGAGACATGGCAGTGTCAAGGGAACTGTCTTCACCACCAAGAAAACTACCCAAATGTTCCACATTCCAGAGCACACACAGGAAGGACGGTACCCTCTCCGAAAGAGGTAACAGCCACCAACTGAGACACCTGGTCAAGTCTGCTCCAGTGTCACTAGAGCCATCACCCTCTCCCCTTCTCACACAGCATGTGTCACTGACCCCCTCTCCCATGCCCACCAGAATGCAGGCCCTTCCATCTCTCTGGAACCCGCAGGGTCCAGGACAGTGCCTGGCACACAGGAGGTGTTCACACACATGGGGACTCAAATCTGTTGCATGTTTGCTGGGCACTGTACCAAGCGGGGGATATTCTCAATCCTCTAGAGTCAGATTAGTATCCTCTTTTTACATATAAAAAAAGTTAAACTGAGTGAGGTTAAATTAACTGACCAAAGTTATGCAACGGAGAGGGGAAGGGCTGGGTTTCTACCTGAACCCACATTCTTTTCCCACCAGAGCCTCCTTGAGTCACCTGAGAATTTTCACTCTCCAGGAAGAGAAGTGCAAAGTCTACAATTAACTATGTTTGCAGAATGACTATGAAAACAAAACTGCAGTTCATAGACACCATCACCTTTCATGTCACTTCATTTGGGACCCTCTCAGGAAGGTGAGGCTTTGGAGCGGCTCCCAGGGGTCTCGCTGTGGCGCAAGCCACGTTTCTCACCTGCCTCAGTGTCATGATGACCCAGCAACTGGTCTGCTTCTGTCTCAGGGCACTTCCGCCTACATAATCCATACCTCTTCTGAACTCCAAGCATGAGCATTAATCCACTGTTACCTCCAAAATTCATTCTCACCACCCCTCACCTGCACTGCTACAGTAGCCTATTCACCACCACCCCAATGTGCCTCCCAACCCACAATCCATTCCCCTCCCAGCAGCCAGGGAACACAGTGATCTTGGGAAGTAAACAGCCAAAACCAATAGAAAAGCTGCCCAATTCCGAATACTATCCCAACTCTGCATCTGATTGGCCCTGCCTGCTTCTCCCCCCTCACCCTGCTGCACTCCTGCTACAGGGCCTCTGGACTCACCACCCATGAGCCTGTGCCTCTCCTCCTGGGTCTCCTAAGACTGCCTGCCTACCCCAGTCCCACCTTCCTATCCCCTTGTCCTCACTGCTACTCCACTTTTCTTGATAGTTCTTCACTTTACAACCTAATTTTACCATTTTTCTTTCTACAAACCTCTCTCCCACTAGAAATGTCAGCTTAAGGATAATGATTTTGTCTTCCTTACTGTTTTCCAAGTCCCAGAGCAAGGCTGACACTTTTCATGAGATCAAATGATTGCTGCACTAATGAACAGAGGAAAAGCAGGCATGGAGCATGGTCTTGGCAGTGCTCAGAAACTTCTATAGCAACAGCACAGCCAAGTCATCCCCAAAGAGTCACCTGCCTGGCCAGGCTCTGGGGGCCTCCCCATGAAGGCTGCAGCTAGAACTCTGTGGAGACTGCCACCCACCAAGAGGGGCTTTGGGCTCCCCAATCCTTTCGGAGGCCCTTTTTGCAAGGGTGAATCCTTACAGCTTAATTTTACCTAATAAAGGGGAGATGGGCTTGGAAAAGCAAACCTTGGCATTTTCCTCCCACCCAGAGGTTGTATCTGCTAAGGACCAACCCAGATAATATGGTGGGGGGACCCCGGGACTGAAAGATGTGCCAGGTGGGGACTCTACATGCCCTCCCATGTCTATCTGGCCACCCTCTCCCACATCCACTATCACTCACTAGGACCACCTCTGCCAGCCAGTCTGATACCGAGCTTTTTCCAGGTGTCCTGGGGGGAAGGGGAGGGCTGAAGCAGTGACTGCAGACACTCAATATGCAACTAGCCCTGGTCCCAAAGCCAATACTCCACGTCTTCTTTCTACCTCTAACCCTGCAGGCAGCCTGGGCCCTTGTGGAATCTGTTTCTGTGGTTCCTCCCTGCTCACTCACCTCTGCACAGTGAAGAAATGAGCCCAGTGTACATTCCATCTTCACTCCGCATGCAGTTCATGTGGCCGACTCCTAAACCCTAATGTGATTTCAGAGCACAGCTGCGGCCACAATGTTTCAGCCGAGTCCTCCTCCGCCCCTTGCGTAGCACACCCTGAAACGTTCCTCTCTCCACTCCATCCACAGTCATGGCCTCCATGCCTCCCAAAGTAGGGGGATGATGTCCACTCTGAAAAGGGTAAGACTGTCTCCCATCTCAAAGTCATACTTCCCATTGTGCGAAATGGTGTTCACCCTCTCACCTCTGGCTGTCTTGAATCCTGTTCTAACAGGCGGGATCAAAACCCACAATCCTTTTAAATAAAAATCCACCAAAGCATCAACAGAGGCCACTCATCTTGTCATGTTACCTGGGTTGAGGTTCACTTCTCTGGCATTCTCAAAGTTTGGGGGTGGGGGAGGGAGATTTTGTTTTGGAGTGGCTAAAAGAGACAAAGGAGGTGGCCAAATGCCCCAGGCTTTGTCATGGGCGCTAGCAGAGCCCTCAGTTTAAGGGACGCTCAGAAATGCTGAATGTGCATGAGGTTCCCCCGTCAGCCACTAGAGGGCCACGCAGCTCCACCGAGTCACCAGCCAAGGCCAGGAAGCAGGCTCCTGGGAGTTCACAGCTGATGGATGCCTGGCACCTCCACCTGTTTCCAGAAGAAGCCTCCCACCTGCTCAGCTCCTCTCACCTTGGGTTATGACGGAGCCTGACCTACTGCAGCTTTACCTCACCAGCCTGCCTGGGAATACTGGCACAAATGAGCACAGGGACTGGAGGACCAGCTCATGTCTGTTCCACCTCATCCTTCAGAGCCTTCCTGGCCATGATCATCCCACATGAAGACACCTGAACTTACAGCCTCGCCCAATGTAGGACACCTCTGGGGTTTGGTCACCACCGACCCAGACCTACATGCTGAGTCCTGTCCCCTCAGTTCAAAACACAGAGCTATTGTAAAGAATAAATGCTGCTCTCCATTTAAGAGCATAAAACCATGTCTGAGTGTGTCCTGATTTGAGCCTCCAGTCAAGAAGTCTTAGGTAAACACTCTATAATTAAGCACATTTTATACAGAAAATTGCTTTTAAAAGTTTTTCATGTGCTTGGAAATCATTATAGACTCTTGGTAGTTAAGAATCGTAAGGGTGTGAGAGGACTGAGTCCAGGTCTCTCAACTGTGAAGTTTCTGGCCACTTCGGAGCCCAGGCCCGGTCCCTAGTTCCGTACACAGCCCAGGCACCTTTTCACAGTCTTCCTGTTCAACTTGTACTATTAACTTGCTGTGCAAAACCATTTTGCCTTAAATAATACAAAGCCAACTGCCTGGTCCTGGTGTTGACTGGGGATTCAAACTGACCAAACCGAATTAGATGAGACTTACTGCACTAAGCAGCACACTGGAAATCTGCCCACAGCCTGCTGTGCCCTTTCTCTGAAGATGTGCTTCCTGACTGTAAGGGCAAAATCCAGCCACAGAGGCCCCGGGGGAGTCAGCCTTGACCCAGTTCACACACAGCTCCAGCTTGGGAAGCAGCCACCCCTGCTGGGACAGGTAAGACCCGCCTCCCTCCCTGGGCCGAAGCCGCTCCCAGAACTGGCATGCTTCGTGCAGATAAAAGCATTTGTCTCACCCCCATCCCACCCACCACCCTGCTCTGCCTCCAGAGGGGCATTCCTAGGGGGTACACTCCAGAGTTGGTCCTCAGAGAACCCACAATATTAATGACAGTCAAAGCTGTCCCCCACCCCCACCCTGCCCCTCCGCCAAAGTGAGGGAAGAACAGAGAGGAGATAATTACAGACTGTTCCCTAGTTCTGCTAATCAATGAATGAGTAAAACTAGGATCCCAGACAATACAATTAGCAGGAGGCTGTAATTACTGCAGCATATTTTGCTGACACGCCCACCAAGCAAGGGCTTGCAGAGCATGCTAATCCCCCCACCCCCCCACCCCCGCCCGGGGTCCGGATGGCTAACAAGCTTGGGGACGGGGGTGATGCCCTTGCTCTCTGCAATACGGTGCTCTCTTCTCTCTCTCTCTCTCTCTCTCACGGCCCATCTATTCCTGAGCCCTGCCAAGTCTTAACATTTCCTCATGTCCCTCCAAGTCCCCCACCCCCTACAAGCCACCACCACCTCGTTCCCTCCTAAGCTCCTGCCTCCCTCTCCTCCACCAAGACACCAGGAGTGTCTTTACAACATCCATCATGTTACCTTGTCTATTTCAATATTTAGCGAACCATCCAAAATCTTACCTTTCCCGAAACTCCTGCATGCTCTGCCTCTGCCCTCAGGAGGGCTCCCCACATGCCCCTTCCTCACACACACCTCTCACGCTGCTCTCCCCAGGCACCCCGGGCTCTCCTGTGACCACATTCCCATGGACAAAAAACCCTTTCCTGCCTCCACCTGTTTGTGAAACAATTTTCACTTAGTCTACCCACTTCTTCCTGTTTCAAATGCTGCTGATGTGTTTAAAAATCATGAAGTCCAAAGGCATTTCACTGGAAAAACACACATTGTGGGGACTGTCGCTAAACACCACATAAAATGTGTAGCTGTAACAGTGACGCCTAAATAGAAAGTCCGTACCTGGAACATCTATAACATTAAGTAAAAAATTAAGTCGGGACAGAGGGCCATTATTCTAGAAGGGGGTCAAGCCCACAGTTGAGGGTGGGAAGGGGGACAGACCTTAGAGAAGGTCTGATTTCTGGGTCCACACTCAAGCTCCCAGTGAGCGTGTGTCTTGACTGTGGACAACTGAATAATTTTTTTAAAAAAATCGGACATTCTGGGCCTCCCCGGAGGTGCACGGAGTTAAGTCTCAGCACGATGAAGCTTTCCGCAGCCACTGCAGCACGAGTTCGATCCCCGGCCGGAGAGCTGACCCACATGGCGCAGCAGACCTCTCCTGACTCGCCCACTGCTCCCTCAGCAGTGTATTTCAGTAGATCCGCCTGTTCTGTTCCCCACTGTCTTTGGTGAATCCTCTCACCCCCCACTCCCGCATCTCTGGTCTACACCCCAGCTCTTGTATGCATAATTAAATAAATCTTAAAAAAAAAAAAAAAATCCGACATTCTGCCAGCCAGGGAACTTTGTGACTTAGGAATCTGTGTGGGGACTAAGAGAAGACCCCCTGGATTCACCCAGAACCCAGGGAAGCAGTGCTGACCAGTGCTAAGTGGTGCCTCCCCTAGGCCTCTCCTCCCACTCCTCAACCCCCCATGTCTCAAGGTAAGTGAAACGGGGGCACACAGCACACAGCTGGAGAAGCCACATCCTCGGCTCCAGTCAGGCCTAAAGGGCCCCCGGCAGAGCCGTGTCCCTGAGAGAAACAAGAAGGAACCTCAAAGGTGGCAGGAAAATCCACACATAAACACCCAGTGGCGCGGGCCAACGCAGACTTCAGCTCTGGCACAATCACCCCCTCGCTGGCTGTCCCTAAGGAAGACACCGTAGTCAAAGGAGGCACATTCTTTTTCAGGTTAGAACTACCAGAACACAAAAATCATGGTGAATGAACTTCTTCCCAGATAGGACGGAGCCCTCTCCCCGGGCCAAGGTCTGGCAGAACAATATATTAGGATTGGCTTGAGGGAAACTACCCACAGATTCCTGCTATACCTGCCTGCTGCCATCATTCTCATGGGACAAACAGTGTCCGTAGACTCAGCTCTGGTAGGAGTTACGCATTTGCAGCAGAGGGGTCATTCAACTATGTTGCAGCCCCACCTTTGGGGACCAGACAGGATTGTCACAGCAATAGGACAGACACCTAAGAGGGGAGATTCTGATTCAGCATTAGCTTGGCAGGCTGGAAGACCAGCACACTTTCATGCCAACCTTCATCAGGAACTAGCTTCCCAGCAGGTGGCACCAAGCATCATGCCTGGCACATAGGAGCTCCATAGAAACTCCTGGTCTGATGCCACTGCAGCATTATGCACTACAGCAGCAAATGCAGGTACTGATGTCAGCTCTATCCTGACTTATCCCAGAAAGGAGGAAGACAACCTCAGGGTTCATCCTGGAACTTGGGGAGATGGACTGGGTTTCTTTGCAATGCGATACACACAGAGCTTTCATGTTGCTTGACAGAGAGCAGGCCAGAAGAGGGCTCAACCCTAGCAGCTGATCTTCTATTTAAAAAGCTCTTTTTTCATATAGGCTAATGGATGCACAACCCAGGGAGAAAGACTACACTGAAAGGACAGATATTACAGCAGAATCTGCTGGAAGTGGCCACTGAAGAAGGATTTTAAGTTGATCCAAATGGCCCGTGGGAGCAGTAGACACTGCAGGGTCCCCTTCCCTCGTGTGACACAATTATGATCCCTCAGATTGGCCATGCAGGCAGCACCAAACCTCAGTGTGTGTCACATGGACTGGGGTGCTGGTATAAAAATTGATTTCCTGAGCTACACTTCAAACTCCCAGAATCAGAATCTTTAAGAGTGAGGCCCAGGAATCTGTGTTTCTGATAAGACACTGCAAGCAATTCTGATCTTGCCCATAGTAGGAGTCAACTGCTAGCGTGTCAGATCATAGAATCCCCAACCTTTGGCCTTGTCCACACATGCACACAGGTGATGCTACTCCCAGGGCAATTGATTAAAAAGCTGGAGTCTCTCTTGCCTTCCCAAAAGACAGTAGTGGAAACTCAGGACCAGGAGTGGGGAACAGGCTGAGCTCAGTCTCAGGGCAGAAACATCCCTTAGACTTCTGCCTGCCTGCCCCTTCAGTGCAAAAGTCCCACTCCACATACAGTGGGACATCAGCAGGGGGCAGGATCAGCCATCAGTCAGCACCATGTCATCAGGCTGCACTGCTTGGGAGAGAAGGGCCCTCTTGACAGCCATCCCTATGTTCACAACAGAGCAGCAACCCATGCACCCCTGTGTTCATGTATTTCACATAGGAGAGAACTTGGCAAGGTTTGGGGACCAAAAGTGTCTCTTCAAAAAGAAATCCAACAATCTGCTCTACTTTGTGCACCCACCACATTGCTACTCCTGACCCCCTGCAAAGTACACAAGCTCAGGGATGAAAAAGAAAACAGAGAGAGGGTGAAATTTTCAAGTTTCTTGTTCAGGTGCCAGCAATAATGTGCAGACTGAAAGGCACTTTGCATATTAACCCCCGTCTCTCTCTCATCCCCAAGGGCAAGAAGCTCATCCTGACCCATGTAGACAGACAGGGACTTTGTTATCTGGTTTGGGTTTTTAAGCAGTGGACACACGGCTAATTTCCCCCAGGAAACCCCAGTCATTGCAACCTGAACTCCCAGGTGAGCGCCTCACTGGCTGGAGGGGAAACAGGCATGGAGAAGCCGCGAAAGAAATATTTATGGGGGCCTCTCCGGTGGCACAGCGGTTAAGCGCTGGGTTGCGAAGCTGCCCGCAGCCTCTGCAGCACCAGTTCGATCCCCGGCTGTTCCCCGGCCACCGGAGAAGGGTCCCACATGGCACGCAGACCTCTCCTGCCGCCCGCTGCTCCCCTCAGCAGTGTACTTCATCTGTCTGCCTGTTCTGTTCCCCGCTCTGGCTCTGGTGAATTCTCTCACCCTCCTGCGCTTCTGACTGTACCCAGTGCTTGTATAAATAAATAAAAATAAATAAATCTTTTAAAAAAATATTTATGGGATGTGAAAAAGCCATTTCCTTTTCACTTACTCCAGCAAGCACTTTGTGCTTCATGATTAAGAGGCCAGGACACCCCAGGCTGGAGGTCAGGGTAGAAGTGATTCATGAAGGTTCTATTAAATTCCCAGGCACAAGACATCTACCCTGATATGGGAACCCTGAGAATCATTCAACGGCATAGGGAGAAGAGGAGGGTGAGGAGCAGATTCGGAATTATTGACCTCTTCTACAAGACAAGCAATTAAAAGAGACCCAAATAGCATCTCCCCTTACAGTGAGCTCAGACGCCTGAGATCAGGCACACTGGCCTTACTCACCATCTGTTATGAGTGCCCTGCTGGTCAGAACCTTCCCCAGCATAAACTTCAACACGGCCAGGGTGCTGCACAGGATCCCACTTAAAATGGAAACACTGAACAGGAAATCATCCTACAAGAGAAAGTGACAGATTTTAACAGTTCATCTCCTGCTAGAGCAGGTTATCTGCACACCACTTGTCTTAAAGCTCAAATCAGGTATGCCACCACCAGGTGGAAGCACATAGCTTGTTTTCACGCCTCAATTTCCTGTGTCACTGGGAACTGAAAAATGATCCCAAAATAATCCTGTTGTATATTTACTTAGGAGCACGTTGGGCATTTTTCTTCCTGTAGGAGACCCCCCCCTTCCCATTATTCTGTACAAATGGCTAGTAATCATTGATCAACAACACAGCTGGTCAGAATGCTAAAAGCAATGCCTTCTCTACATAGAATGTGCCACGGATAAGTCACAAAGCAGCTGATTGAGAATTTTGGAATTCTCAGACCACTAGTCTGAAAACACTTCCGTGTAGAGCCAACTAAATTTGCCACTGGGTCAATTGTGGCTGGAGCTACTTATAACCATACTTATTCTTTCAATTCACACAAAGCAACTGGAAGTTCAAATATAGTCTTCAAGGTGGGGAAAAGGCATCTATAAATATAGCCTACTATTGACGTTATCTTAACACTTCCTTCAAGTTGTTACCTTACCTTTGCAAGCAAATGAGTCACATGCAAACATGCAAAAATGAGCACCACCACCCTGTGACATCAGGGCACCTCGAGCTCCTGCGTCAAGCTCCCTGTGTCACTCCCAGGAGACACTCTCTAGAGTTTCTGATATTATAATGCAACTGTCAGCAGTAATCTGATAAAGTAGCTATATATACATGCAAGGAAATAGGACTCCTTAAGCATTTTATTAAATTCCCACCCTAGTGACAGTAACTGGAAAGAGAAAAAAAGCCTGTTTTTCTGGGTTCAAATCTGAACAAAGTCATTAGAAAAATCAGTTCAATGGAAACAGACCGGCATGGCATGAAAGCATCTTCCCACAAATCAATGGTTGTGGTGGTTTTAACTTCCATCCCCAAGGCTGAGCTCAGTTCCTCCCTAACCCATTTAAGTGTGGGCTGGCCTTTGTGACTTGGCCCTCAGGTATGGAGAAGGAAAAATAGTAACCGCAGTGGAGAAGCCCAATGGACATTACCTTAGCATAGTGACCAAGATTCATGACCACTGCTAAGTTACACTGAGATCACATGTCTCCTGATACAACCAGAGATCACCTCTGCGGTATTCACAAAATACCCCTAACCTCAGCTGAATAGTGAAAAGTCATCAAACAAGTGCACAAATACGTAAGTACTAACTTCTCTTCACACATGCCAAAGTCATGAGATAAGGAACAATGCAGACTGGAGACTAAGGGGATCCGAGGACTAAATGCCACAGTATCCCAACTGATCCTGGAATGGAAAAAGTTCCTGAAGGTGGAAAACTGGGGAGTCAGAATAGATCCTAGAGTTTTGTCAACAGTGTTGTCACCTCATAGTTTCCGTAAAACCTATAGTCCCTGTGAAATGTTAATATTAAGGTAAGCTGGAGGAAGAATATACAGGAAATCTCTACTATTTTTGTAGCTCTTCTATATTAAAAGTGTCTCAAATTTTAAAACTTTTAAAAAGTAATCATCCTTGGGCCTCCCTGGTGGCGCAGCGGTTGAGCGCTGGGTTGCGAGGCTGCCCGCAGCCTCTGCAGCGCCAGTTCGATCCCCGCCTGCTCCCCGGCCACCAGAGGAGGGTCCCACATGGCGCCGCAGACCTCTCCTGCTGCGCCCACTGCTCCCCTCAGCAGTGTATTTCGTCAGTCTGCCTGTTCTGTTCCCCGCTCTGGCTCTGGTGAATTCTCTCACCCTCCTGCGCTTCTGACTGTACCCAGTGCTTGTATAAATAAATAATAAATAAATAAATCTTTAAAAAAAAAAAAAAAGTAATCATCCTTACAGATGTTTCACCACCTCAAATTATTGGTAAGGACCAAACCTGGCTTCTTGGCAGGTCCCCAGTCCCTATATGAAGCTACCCTGGGAGGACCCCCAAATCCAAGTCCCTTTGGTGGAGGGATTCAGCCTAATTATGGGAGATGGTACTCACACGCAAAAAAAAAAAAAAAATGCAAACATGAGAAAAGAATCACACCTACATAGACCCAGGTGGTGATGAGATTCAGAAAGTACAAACTGGGAGACCACAGCAGCCCATTCACCCAAAATTTGGATTCTTAATTCTCATATTGCTCACCCCATCCTTAAAGCCTTTTTTACTCATTCAGTCTCTGTAATAGCCTATCCCTAAATTTCCGGAGATTAGAAAAGTCCGTGTTCATCCTAAACAGACCCTAGGAAGTTGGGGTTGAGCTGCTCCCAGTTCCCACACGCATCTTGAGAGGTGGTCTGCTAGTCCTGGTCACTGCTGAACTGGGGCTTGGCTGGCAAAGAGATGCACCAGCAGGCCTTTGCTCAAGTCTAGCCTCCATCACTCACTGGGAAACAGAGCCAAGCTCTGGACTCTCTGTTCTCTCTTCCAAAGACAGCAGGGTGACAGCCACAGCGCAATTTACAAAGGAAGCAATGACTGTCAGAAACCCAAGCACAGTACTCCTGCACCAACACATTCCACCCAGCAGCCACCCCAGAAGTGAGTGGTGACAGGTATATAAGCATTCCTATAAAAGATACATGGAACTTGTTACCTAGAAATAAGTGGTGAAATGCAAAGAAATATAAGAGTCAATGACTGTGACAATTGTGGCTTATCAAAGGTGTAGGAGTACTTGGGACCTGTCCCCTTCACCTTAGATGTTTCATCTTAGAGATGCTCTCCATGGCATGGGTGGTTCTGAGGTCCATATCTGGGAGGATCAGGGCATGAGGATACCAATGTAATAAGGTGAGAATATTGTAGCAATAATACAATAACACTAATAAAGTCAGAATGCTGAAATAGAAGCCTCACGTCACAGCTATGTGACAGGACGAGTCTCCCTTCTTGCTCCCTTCTCTTGCTTTTCTTCATCTCCACATGTGTAAAATGGAGAAAAGAGCACATTCATCACTGCTCTTGGCTGTGTGCTGTGTCCACAGAGCTCAGCAGGAACTATTTGTGGAATTCGCTCCATGGATGGTTCAGAGTCACAGTGGGCCACCTGAGACTCTGTGAGATCTGCAAGGTAGAGGTAACATGGCAGCCACTTGTCCCTGCAGGCACAAGGCAGCTGCCCCCACACATGTGCTGCATGTCCATTCTCACACACTGGAGGCGGGTTAGCAGCCCCACCACAGCTCCTCCAGCTGTCCAAGTCTTCCGTCAGGCATGTGTGCTCCTTCCTGGCAAAAGGCACTCCCTACTTCCGCAGGTCACTGTGTCACCAAGGCTGAGACAATGAAGACCAGCTGCGAATTTCAGTCCACCCACAGGATATCAACTCTATGCCCAGGTTTCCTTCCTGCCAGGCCTCCCTGCTGGCTTCAGGCTCAATCCCAGATTCTGGGGCAGCAGCCTGACAGCAGCTTCTTCCTCAGCCTCCCCCTTCTTGCATCAACCCCCTATTCTGTACCATGTAGCGTAGTCCTGCTTCTCTGCTTGAACTGACATACCACTTCATAAAGGAGTTTCAAGTGCTTAAATGGTTCATGAGAAAATGCCACATCTGAATGTGGAGAAGCCAGTATACAACACAGGTTTCCTGTCCATGGATTTTTTTCTACCAACCACCCTGAGCCCCTGGGATCAGCTGCCTTCCCAAAGTCTGATAGAACAGTGATTGTGGCTACCTTGAAGCCTCACACAAACCTACAAGACTTTGTCACAATTGTTGATCGGTCTTTGAAAAAAAATAAACTCTATAAAGAACACAGAGAGGCCCCAGACTGTTACAATGCCTCTTCTGAAGTCCTCTGTGATGACCCTCTGTCCCACCGTCCTCTCCCCACACAGCCACCACATCTAGCAGGAGTGTGTCCCGAGATACAGTCACCATCGGGCTGCTGCAGACATCAGTGTCTGCCATGGGCTGGAATGCAGACATCGAAGCTCCAACCCAAATGCCATAGCACTTGGAGATGGAGCCTTTGGAGGTAAATAGGTTTTTGGTTTAGATTAGGCCATGAGGATGGGGCCCTCATGATGGAATTATATCCTTATAAGAAGGGGAAAAGATCTCTCTCTCCACCCGCCAGGCAGTGATAGAGGGAAGGACAGGTAAAGTCACAGTGAGAAGGTAGCCATAGGTGATCCAAAGAGAGATTCCCACCAGATACCAACCCTGCTGGCACCTCATCTGGGAGTTCCAGTTTCCAGTACTGTAAGAAATTTCTGTTGTTTACAGGCCACTCACTCCGTGGCACTGTGTTATGGTAGCCCAAGCTGACTAAGACAGTTGAATAAAAGAAGCAGTTTCTAATAGGATATCTTACCGAGAGGCAGGCAGGAAGCCAGAGCAGACATGGCTAATGAAGAAAAATTGCAACCTGCATAGATAAGCACCGCTACTGACTTCCCTCAGAGTGCAGTCACACCCGTGGTGCCTCACTTCATTCTCATATCCAAGTCGAGCAGACATCTGACAGATGAAGAAACAGATACACAGAAGCTAAGTGACTTGCCCAGTGTTACTCAGCTAGTGGCAGGACCTGGATTTGTTCCCAAATGTAAACTGTACCAGAGGCCTCATCTACAGTCTTGTCATTTTCTCTCATGTCACTGAACTGTGGACTTTAAAAACAGAGAGATAGTCATCTCCTTGGCAGGTACTCAGTTTCCAATGTTCCCAGCACTGGGACCTGATGATTTCTCACAGTTGAATCACCACTGAGTGGGTAGATCAGGGCAGAAAGGCTCAAGGGAACTAGCCACTTACTCAGAAGCTAAAGATAAATGTAACAAGTCTCGAATAATTTCCTTTAATTCAATGTCTTTTCATTACAGTGTTGACGAGAAAGAAACAGTCCAGCCAACATCAAACATGATATTATTCAAGGAACTGCTTTCATCATACGTAAGTTTCACTACAAGTTGCAGTTTTCAAGACTCTATTAAGGATGTTTAGTGAAGACTTACTGTG